ATGTTCGGATTAATAAAATAAAGCATTTCATAGAGGGAATAAATGTAAATATATTACATAATATTAAATTAACATATGTAACTAACTAGTTTAATAATAATCCTTAATTGAGTCTGCTTTTGTACAACTTATAGTCCTTGCTTAAAAACCTTTTCTCGCATGTTGCGAAGAATTATAATATCTTTGGCAGTCTTTATGAAACCATTCGCTAAATACCTCTCTCGTGACCCAACTTCTAATTTGGTTCTTGTACCAGACTGGCAGACAAATGTTCTTGAAAGCTCTGGGATTTGTTACTTTGCCAATCACTAATTAATCCAATTTGTGCGTTCCACCAGTAGCATTTGAACACGGCATGAATGTGATTTGGTCCAAGAGCTAGTGAACCCTGGGAGTAACGGTCTCCCTGTAAGGTTAGAAATTTGTATACTTACGATTTATGACATGCTAAGAGCAATAGCCATGACCTGGCAGGCGTCAGCCCTGCACGTCATCAGCCCCTTTTTTTTGGACTGTTAAGTAAATTGAGTTTCAAAACTTGTTTCTGTAAATTTGAAAATTTTATAGGATAAAGTTTATTTATTGTACATCTTAAAAAAAAATTGACAGGCGATTACAATAAGCAGAAGTATATGACAGATCAATTAGAAAACGTACAGTTGATGAGTTAAAATAAACTTTATCCTGTATACTTAAAATTTTTATATGTTTTCAAGTAAACGTCTCAGAGTAAATATGTACAATGCCAGGCGGTTTTGAACAGCATAAGACCTTGACAGGCGAGGGGACAGCTGCTAAGGGAGTGCGAGTGAGAGGTGTTGCGTGAATGCCTATAGTGCGAGTGAGACCGTTTATCTAATACGAAGATGATTTTTACTTGTGAAGATGCTTTGAGCTATAACATTTCTTATGTTGAGTGAATTCGAATTTTTAAAAAATCTAACTTTATATTATTATCAATTGTGCAGTGATATTGTGTATTGTTGTACTTAATATTAACATTTCAGTAAATAGTGTGCAAGATGGAATTGGAACACGTGGTTATTTTCAGGTGTAAGAATTGTTGGTTCTTTTAAATTACAATTTCGCCATATATTTGTAATGTAGGCAGTTCTCAATAATTGTTGATGTAGTTCACGTTTGCAGGGTGGTAAATTCGATGAATCATAGCTTACTACTTTTTTCATAAACACTTTAGGATTATTTGTGTTGTACGTAGCAAGGAACTTTTCATAACGTGCATTATTTAACTTTGAACATTTCAAACCATACATTTGGCATACAAATTTCTCTAGTATCGGGAAAATTTTTTCTTTCTTTATTATTATGAATAATTTCCATTTAATATATATTTAATAATGATAAAATTTGTACCACGTAATTAAGTCAAAAATATAGTTACAATTAAAGAATAAAGCCTAGTAAAAAATATAGAAGTTCATAAAAAATACCTGATGATGATGCTGGTAGATTTGAAGAAGTTGATGATTCACTTGTGCGATATTTTTTCATCACAGCAAGAAAGTTTTTATAACATTTTACATGGTAACCAGTATTTGCGTTAATTTCCTCTGGCAAAGAAATGTCTTTAAATTTTAAATTATTGTCTTTTCTTATTTTCAATATTGATTTACTTTTATTCAACGTAGTCTCTGTAAATCGTACAGTTTTTTTGTCAGTGTCTTCGTTACAAATCACACAAACCACGTGTTCCAATTCCATCTTGCACACTATTTACTGAAATGTTAATATTAAGTACAACAATACACAATATCACTGCACAATTGATAATAATATAAAGTTAGATTTTTTAAAAATTCGAATTCACTCAACATAAGAAATGTTATAGCTCAAAGCATCTTCACAAGTAAAAATCATCTTCGTATTAGATAAACGGTCTCACTCGCACTATAGGCATTCACGCAACACCTCTCACTCGCACTCCCTTAGCAGCTGTCCCCTCGCCTGTCAAGGTCTTATGCTGTTCAAAACCGCCTGGCATTGTACATATTTACTCTGAGACGTTTACTTGAAAACATATAAAAATTTTAAGTATACAGGATAAAGTTTATTTTAACTCATCAACTGTACGTTTTCTAATTGATCTGTCATATACTTCTGCTTATTGTAATCGCCTGTCAATTTTTTTTTAAGATGTACAATAAATAAACTTTATCCTATAAAATTTTCAAATTTACAGAAACAAGTTTTGAAACTCAATTTACTTAACAGTCCAAAAAAAGGGGCTGATGACGTGCAGGGCTGACGCCTGCCAGGTCATGGCTATTGCTCTTAGCATGTCATAAATCGTAAGTATACAAATTTCTAACCTTACAGGGAGACCGTTACTCCCAGGGTTCACTAGCTCTCCAGCTAATTCTATATCTACTCACTTTACGACCTGGTGCACTTGCTTCTTTAGAAGATACGAATGTTTTATTGGGCAACAGTCTCCAGAACAGACCACTCTAGTCTGCGTTATAGATTTGCGTCAGGAAGAAGACCCAGTTCTTCTACATTGTTTTTAAAATGCTGAATAGATGGCTGTACTGCAGATTCGTCGCTTGATAATTTCTCACCAGATATGGTTAATAGACGGATACCAAATCGTTTTTTAAATTTATCCAGCCATCCATCGCTGGCACGAAAATCATCTTTGTGGGTAATTTTTTTATAAAATTCGATTGCTTTGGCTTTCAGAATTTCTCCAGGTATAGGAGTGTGTTTAAAACGCCGTTGTATGAACCACATGTAAAGAGCGTATTCCATCTTTAGACAATCGCCAACTTTTATTTGATACTTTTTTTGTATTACGCTTTCCTGACCCCGATTCCATTGTCTTGATGTGGTCTACTATCTTTTGACTTTGAACGAATAGGAACCTTGTCCCATTTGACTGAAAAATGAAATGAAAATTACAATATAGGTTTGTCATTTCAAATATAAATTTTCAAATACTAGATGAAAACTAGGTGAAAATTATCTACTAGGTGAAATTTGACTCATAATACACATCTAGGTGCAAAATGTAGGTAGATATTTCTGTAGTCATCGGTTCTCAAAGAATATTAAATATAGATTCGTATAGCATCGTTCGTTGTGTTTAATAAATATAAGGTGGGTGGACCATGGAAGGCCATGCTCCCTTGAAGGCCAAGTACTAAAAAATCATAGTTATAGTCATGTGATGACAAATTCCTTCCATTTACACAAAGCTCCATCAAACCCAAGGACACAGACGCGGTGATGAGTCGCTCGCGTTGCTATTTTGTCAGTGCGGTCCCTCACTACGTAGACTTCGGTCATCGATGTTAAAATTGTAATTTGCGCGCTCAGCAAAAGATAAGTTTTTATATGAATATCCCATTATTATCATATTCTTTTTACTGTAAATTGTCATATATGGATTTTTTTATAATACTAAAGAAAAAAATATTAATTTTACTTTGGTTTCAGTTAAAATATCGATAGTGTTCCTATAAAAGCCGGTGGTTCCTTATAAAGCCAATCAAAAATTTGACGGTTGGCCTTGCTAGGGTACATGGGTCTCACTAGGAACATTTACGAACTATGAAAATATGAACACTTCGTTTTTAGTTAGAAATACGTACCGGGAGTAAGAAAAAATGAAATGTACAAGTAAGCGACGACAAAAAAGAAAAACATCAATAAAAATGATTCCAAAGAACTGCTGAAAAGAAAAGCAGAAGGTGAAGAAAGAAAATGGTACTGTCACGCATGTGGCGAGTGTAAAATCGAAGACATGAGGCAATGTAGCGAATGTCAAAAGTGGTATCACGAGGAGTGTATTGGTCTCACTAAAAAGGATCTCTCATTTTTATGTTCAGATTGTGATTAAAATAAATTATTATCCTTTTTAGTTTATAAGTTTAGTATTTCCAAAGCGCGCGATATCGTGAAGTCCACGAGGGCGGAGCTGCGGTTGAAAAACTAGTTTTATCATAATTTCATTTTTAATCTTAGGAATGGTTGATTTTAAATATTCCTGACTTCAAGACTGACTATGTACCATTTTAAGTTCGTAATAATTAGAGTACTTAGTCTGTAAAAAAGGCTGTCATAAATGATAATTGTTAGTTTGGCCTTCTTAGGAACATTTTGGCCTTACAAAGAACGGACCCATTAGAAGGCCATTATAGGTAAAAAAAATATATAAATTCATTGCAAAACGAATTGGTAACTCATTTGTTATCGAAATAATAGTCATTACTATAATTTTTGAATAATATCCATTAATAAGTTCTTAGTTATACGATAATGTTCAAGGAATGTTCGTTGAGTTTATTAAACAAGATTATAATATGTTAAGCATTTAATTTTTCGTTTAAGTGAAAGAGCTTTTTATGTAGTTTTAGTAAAAGCGGATATTTTGATTATTACAATTCTAGTTTTAAGTTGAACGGCTGATTTAAAATATTGGCCTTGTATGGAGCACTGTTCCTTGCAAGGCCGTTTAGAAGAGCTTTATAAAAGTTAAGTTTAAGAAATAGTGATAACGTCTACAATAAAAAAAAACAATTTATATGTTGCACAATAAAACAAAGTATTAGTTAATAATTTGTTTCTTTTATTTATCTAGTAAATTAATGAATAAAAACTGTTTATTCGTTACAGTGGCCTTCTATGGTCCACCCACCTTAGTAAATAAAAACGGCAAAAGTTTTTACACAAATTATTTTTATTTTAAATCAACATTCAAAATAAACTAAGACAACTAAGACTCAATTAACAAAACATATTTATAAGGTTTACTCTCTGTAAATCTCTTTTTTTAAGCACTCAGTCTTTTTCTCTACTCTACTAAGTATTTACTAATTTTAAAAATAAAAAATTAAATTGTGCTTCTTTTTTTTTCAAATCGGCTAAATCAAAAATAATATTAGGAAGTATTTAAATTGTAATTTTACAATGAGTACTTATCTGAGAATTTGGTAAAGGTACTTATAAAGAAATATTCTCTATTATACATCACAGATTGATTATAATAAAATTTCTTTATATATAACATTTTTAGATAAATATTTATCACCTTTCAAGCCTTGTTCAGTGGTATTGATAATTTGAATTTTTACATCATCGAATCTTCGAACTCGAGAGAAGGCAACATAGAGCTGTCCATGAGTGAACACAGGATTAGGTAAAAATATACCGATTTTGTTGAAAGTTTGTCCCTGGCTTTTGTTTATTGTCATAGCGAATGCTATGCGAATGGGAAACTGAAGCCGACTAAATTTAAAAGGCAGTTGACTGTTGAGATGGCTGGAGCCGAATTCGACGAATGAAAACTCTGGTTCCCACATGGCTACCACAAATAATTTCGGCATCAATGACACGTGAAGCTAACGCTCTAACAATAAGACGGGTTCCGTTGCACAACCCAACAGTCGGGTTCAAATTTCTCAAAAGCATTTCTATACAACCAACTTTTAATTTTAGTGTGGTGGTAATCCTGCAGGCGTTATAGAATTTAGAAATTCTACAGTATAGTTTAAAACATCATTATGATCGTCCTCAACCACAGCGTCAAAACTTTCATAAATTTTAAGCAGGCCGGGAATTTTCTCGACAACTTTGGTCGTTCAATTAAAAGCAATCATCGTTTTTGGGAGTAAGGATAGATTTCATTGAATAACTTTTATAATCATTTGTGTTAAGGGAAACACCAAAAATATGGTCTACAATTGAATTATCTACAATGCATCGCTGAGGCAGTTCAATGTGGTCATTACTATCTTCATTAGCTGATACATCGCCTACCTTTAATACCCATTGAGCAAACTCTAAATCATCGTGAGCTCTCATATTATGAACCAACTGGAGTTGAGTAAAGTTTGGCCACATTGATAAGTGCTTAATTGAAGCTTTTATAATATCATTTCGTGACCCATTAAAACTACAACTGGTAAAATCTGACGAAAATCTCCTGCGAATAACAAAGTTTTGCCTCCAAAAGGTAATTTATTTTTCATTATATCTTGAAAGAGTCGATCAACTACAACAATATCATGACATTTAGTCATGGGTGCTTCATCCCAAGTGATTAAATGAGTTTCCTTCAATAACTTAGCTGCTGGTGACCCTAACGACATATGAGACGTAGAATCTACATCTGAATTAATTGGAATTTTAAATCGCGAGTGAGCTGTTCTACCACCATCTTACAGAGTTGCTGCAATACCAGAAAACGCTATGGGTAGGCATAATTTGTTTTCAGATCTTAAAATATGTAAAATAGTTGTAAATACAAAAGTTCCTCCTGGGCCGTCAAGGGTAAAACAGCTTTCTCTCTGTGGGATTATTCACAGCGTTTAGTATTGTATCGACCACATATTTTTGTTCGGTGTTCAATTTTTGGTATTTTTCATAGCCATTTGCTTTTTCAAGATCACAGTCATAAACGGGATCAGATAAAATATTATTTTCATCAAGTCGGAAATCTGTTAGTCTCTTTCCGTGGAGTTTTAATGTTTCATCAATTTCTTGTAAGGCCAACTGTTTGGATAATATTTCAGGGCGTGATCTTGTAAAGTCTTCGATAAAATGTGATGCAAACTTTTCCCAAAGAGCATTAGGATCAGTTACTTCACAAAATACGCAAATTAACGCAAACAGCTGTCGTAATTGCCGAGGAAGTTTAAAACCGATTGCTTCATCCAAACATCTTTCCCATTCTTGATCGTCAAAAAGGAGCCCCCTAGCTTGAGCAGCTTCTCGAAATGATTTGTAAATAATATTTTCATAAGTTCTAACATCTCTGAAGCAAGTCGGCCCTTTGACGTGAAGAAGTAATAGCCGGAGATAATATCGTTCCCGATCAGAAAAGGAATAATTATACATTCTTGCAATTACTTTATCAGCCGCTGACTGAGATATTCGTGGTTGCCACTGTTCAATAAATCTGAAATGTGTCGGAATTTCAGTGTAAAGATATTGTCGAGCACTTTCATCTGTTCTGTTTAGTTAAAAAAATGCTAATAATATTGATTTTCCAGCAGATCTAGCTGCTGCTTCATGAACGTTCTGATCTGTAAATACGACAGTTTGTTGGTTTTCCAAATGAACACCTAACTGTATAATTGCGTGACTCATTCTGTGCATGGAAAATTCAAATATTCGCCAAACTGCTTCAGGGGCCGAAACATACCTGGTATCAATATAAGCCTTAATTTCATCATGGTGTTCATAACTTAATGTCGATTGATCACTGGACTCTTGTGGCGCTACTGTGATTTGTATCTTTGCTCGGTCATGCACCATGTTGGAGTAGCGGCGGAAGGTCTGGTCGCACAGCGTGCACTTGACGGGCGCCTGCTCCGTGTGCGTGTTGCGGTGCTCGCCCAGCTTCTGCCGCGTCACGAAGCGCTTGCCGCATGTATACTGGATTCCATTATCTTGATGTGGTCCAGGTCCATTTTTTGCTAGGTTTTTTCTTAAAGAATGTGTTGAGGATTGCCAGGTTGTTTTCGTGACTCAGATTTACTAGTCGTTCTCCGTTATTATTTCTCTTTCCTATGGTGTATTCGCCGATGATATTTTCTTCTCCTGATCTTTGCTTGCCAATTTTCCCATTGAAGTCTCCCATAATTATTAAGTTTTTTTTCTGTTACATCTATTGTTTTGGATAGTTGATGATAGAATGAGTCTTTTGTGGCTTCTTCTGCTTGTTCTGTTGGTGCATACACTTGTATCAAGGTCCAGTGTTCTCTGTAGCCTGTTATATTTATTTTTAGGATTGCTATTCTTTCTGAGATGCCTGTGAATTCTAGTATGCTGTTCTTGAGTTCCTTTCTGACCATGAAGCCTACTCCGTAGTGTCCTCGTCGCGCGACGAGACGATCGGCCGCGGAGAGGAAATACCTGTGCTGCACCATGTTGGAGTAGCGGCGGTAGGTCTGGTCGCACAGCGTGCACTTGACGGGCGCCTGCCCCGTGTGCGTGTTGCGGTGCTCGCACAGCTTCTGCCGCGTCACGAAGCGCTTGCCGCATGTATACTGGATTCCATTGTCTTGATGTGGTCCAGGTCCATTTTTTGCTAGGTTTCTTCTTAAAGAATGTGTTGAGGATTGCCAGGTTGTTTTTGTGACTCAGATTTACTAGTCGTTCTCCGTTATTATTTCTCTTTCCTATGGTGTATTCGCCGATGATATTTTCTTCTCCTGATCTTTGCTTGCCAATTTTCCCATTGAAGTCTCCCATAATTATTAAGTTTTTTTCTGTTACATCTATTGTTTTGGATAGTTGATGATAGAATGAGTCTTTTGTGGCTTCTTCTGCTTGGATTGACTGAAAAATGAAATGAAAATTACAATATAGGTTTGTCATTTCAAATATAAATTTTCAAATAATATTTATCTATTGTAACACGAAATCATAAATACACAATAAAATTTCATAAATACGTACTGTGCCCTGAAAATATACTGGCCGTTGTGGCCTTGCCCCATCTTGAAACTGAAAAATGACAATGATAAAAATTTAAATATGAAGATTATTCATTTAATTTAAAGCCAGTTACCGAAAAAAAGTGTGTGTGTAACCTTTACGCGCGATTGATCATTGAAGTAAAACTTCTTTCAAAATATTAATTTCTGTTTGTAAAGCTAATCGCACTATTTCATTTTAAAGACATTTTTTAACTTATATTATCATTTTAAGGGGGCCTGTATGTATACTGGAAACCTTGGACCTTTACTTCGTTTTTAATTTGAATAAATAAATTTATTTACAGAAATTATTGGAGATCTCGATCGTATGATGAGACATGAGTCAGTACTAAGTTCTCCTGTTTTTGAAATATTAATAGTTAGGGAGGCGAGGTAGCTAAATGGCGTAATTCAACGGCGCCGTCGAGACCTATAAAAATCGAAAGATAAAATAATTTCGAAAAGAAAATCTCGTATGGTAAAATCCATTTTAGCGGTGGGTTTGGCGTGTATGGTTTTTCAAAAATGTTAAAAAAAAACAGTTACTTGGGCATTCTCGAGCGCGTCAGATATTCATACTACGTATGCCCCAAGTGCCTCTGATAAAAACGGTATACTAATCTGCCAGTTTGCGTGGTGGGGTTAGACATATAAAGTCACCGTGACCACGCACGCTGTAAAGCACGCGAAACGTCGGATAAATTTAAAATTATGTTAAATAGTTGTAAATTTATAATAATACATAACTTCAATCCAGTCAAAATAGTGTTTTATCATATAAAGTAGTCAAAAATGCAAAAAAAAAAAATTATTCGAGCGCGTCAGATTTTCGGAAGGGGTGTTAAGTAGGCCCCAAGGAAGCTCCCTTTAAAAAAACTGACGATTTCGGCGTGACGATTCGTTACGATGAATTTTTGAAAATGCAAAAAAAAAAGGTTTTTTGAAATACTCGAGCGCGTCAGATTTTCATAGGGGAGGTTTATCTCGGTATCCTGAAAGGATATTTTCTTAATCTAACGAAAATGTTGGTGGGTTCTCTTAATCTGACCGAAAAAGGTTTTTTGGTTTCTTTTTTCTTCTTTCCCCACCATCAATGTTGCGGAATAAAGGAAAAATACTGGTAGGACGGCATATTTCCGCGAAGCGCTCAGTCTGTATTACTGGCTATTGAATAATATACATGAAACTGTACATGTTAATAATACTTTTGTATACAGATACGCGTAACTTTTTCCGAGTCCACAAAAATTGTCGAGAAGCTTTAGAAATTTTTTTTTTTGAGATATAATAAAAGTCACATAATTTAATCATCGTTATTTCATATCAATTTTTTTAACACCCTCAGTTTTCGAGATATACTCAAAAAACCGGGAGTTTGAGTTTTTATGATGCTTCAAGTCAAAAAGTTAAAAGTTTGAAGTTACTTTGGACAAAAATGTAAAGAGACCTTTTTGTGTAAAATAAAATTACCTATTTGTTTATTTAAACTTTTCTTTTGTAAAATGTGTCGTTCGCGACTTATATGCCGCAACGCGTTTTTCGGAAGACGACATGGCTCCTCCACACTCCCGGTCATGCGGAAACCGGCAGATTTTGTATTTTTAGTAAGTTTTAGATTATATTCTTTAAAATAAAAAATTAAAAAATCGCGCTCGAGAATGACGGATTAACGTTTTTTTTTACAAGTTCGCGACCCTATAACTCGGAGGCGTCAAGGACTTATCGTCAGATTAGACGCGCTCGAGTATTTCAGACTATCGATTTTTTTACTAATCTGATCGTCTATCCTAGGCGCGCGTCACTACATATAGAGCTAAATACTTTACAAGGTTGTTCTATTAGGTCTAAGGTATCTCTCATATCTTAAACTGCCACGCTCGAGTATTACAGAAAATTCACCTATTCGCCTCCCTAACTATAAAAACGTTTTATCTATCTCTAATATTTCCCTTTGAGATTCTTATTTCCTAACTAATTACCTCTATAGAGATTGTAACATATTATGCAAGAATTTTACTGGATTTTCGCTACTCGAAAAAAAAGTAGATGAATTAATTTAAAGAAGGTAAATCTCTCTTCTATCTTACGATGTTTAGCAGCGGCCTGAATACCATGGCATAGGCGCTGCCTATTGTGAGATGTGTGAGGAGTGGATTAATTCATTAAGTAAATTTTTATTGCTCACAGTTTTGAAAAACAAGTCTCCATATATCTTCCGGTTAAAGAAATATAATATGTAACTAGATGACCCCGTGAACTTTGTTTCACCAACATATATTTGTGTCAAAACTTTTAAAACAGACCAAAGAGGTCGGCCCTGTTACAGCAGACTACATACTAATACTATGAAACACATATTTTTGAAAGAATCTACAAATATGTAAATGACAACCAAGTGACAATTTTTTATTACTAAAAAGACGTTCAATTTCCCATCTAAGAACAGTTTGTATTGGGAAATTCAATTGTCGTTTTTAGTATTATCTTTAATTATTATTTACGTTTCCCATTGTTTAAGCCTTCCCTGATCTTCCACAAATATTTCAAGATCATAATTAGCCAAATCGGTCGAGCCGTTCCCGAGTTTTAGCGAGACTAACGAACAGCAATTCGTTTTTATATATATATACTAGTGGACCCCACAGACGTTGTCCTGCATGATATTTAAAGCGATTAGGATATTAGGCAAAGTATGAAAGTACCGACTGCAGTGCCATCTGCCGGGCTGATTTGTGAATCTAAACCATTCCCAGATCCCCTTGAACACACACAAACAATTTCATCAAAATCGGTCCAGTCGTTTGAGAGAAGTTCAGTGACATACACACTCACAGAAGAATTATACATATAAAGATATATATGTAATATGTAATTATCTACTGGGCTATTTAACATAAGTTTAAAAAGCATATTATATTTTATTACCGACTATAGAACCTACCCATATTGTTAATTTTAATATGTATGCGTATGTATAATGCGTTTAAAAATTCAAATTAATAGTTCGTAATTTCAAGAACGCACCGAAAATCTTTTCTAGGAATGGCGATTGCGTCGCACCAGCCTCTATGACGTACCATGCCTGTTAACACACAACTATCGCCATGTTTTATACAGATCGCATTCAATAATATTTTATTAGAAAGTGAATAAAAATAGTAACCGCGATTCGGATTAGTCAAATCAAAAATCATGTACGAATAGTATTCTTGTAAAATATAAATATTATCTTCGCCTGTCTAATTACAATATTGTTTGTGGTCGAAATAATAAACTTGACTTTGGTTGGTGACGTGTTTATAGGTAAGGTACGTCATAGGGACTTTAACGCTTTTCAGGCAGTCGTTTGGCGGATGAAATTATGAATGTTTACTTTAAATTTTTGAAGCAATAATTAACAGTTTGTGTAATTTTAATAGTAACTAAAAATTTATACTAATAACAAAAAACTTAAATAGTTATAAAATTTTGTGTATTTTGTGTGTGCCTAACATAACATATGTATAACATACTTGACATTGACAGTCTGTTGTTTGTGATTAGTGTTTACATATTTTAACTTGTATATTGTATTATAAGCAGAAATCGCAGTAGGTGGTTTCGATTCCCACCCGCCTTCTATATAAGAAAGGCCTCAGTGTGTCACGGGCTCTGCCCACTCGTGCGTCGCTTTCGACAAGGTCTGGCACAACGGCTTGGTTTACAAGCTCTACCACCTTCAAGTGCCACTAAGACTCGTGCGTATCGTACACGACTTCTTGTCCGACCGCTATATGCGCACCGTGTAGACAGCGACATCCCTAGGGCTCCCGATGTGGAGCTAGCCCTCTATGC